GCGGCTTTTTAAAAGGTGAAAGTTTATTAAAAAGTAGGGGGGGGGGGAAAGCCAAAAAAAGCAGCTCACTGTTGTGTGAGTTATCAGCTGCAAACAGGCATCAAGGCACATGGCATTAACGTTGGCTTGCCCTAGCAGAACGGGTGGTGGAGCTGCAGAATGTGCAGTTTCTTCAGTGGGAATACATTCCAACCTTCAACAATTTGCCGTTTGAAAAACCTCAAGCCACACGTGAAAAAGACTGAAAGAGGTGCATTCTGAAGCCGCACACACCTTGGCACCGCAGCTTAGTGTACTGGGGACAAACGTCCATTTCCGCTACCAAAATGTCCTCCTAAGGCCAAAGCTCCACCACGTCTGGTGCAGCCTGGGGCAGACAATCAGCTCGTCCTCAGCAGGGACCAGACCCACCAAGCCAGGGGACTACGAGAAGCTCTTCAGCCACACATTTCACACCTGGCAGCTGGGCTCAGGCAGCACTTTTATTGAGATCACAGCTTTACCTGCAGGATCCCTCAAAAGAGCCTCCAGCTCACGGCTGGTCTTCATGCAGGAAAGCCACGGTTCCGGGCAAATACTGCAGGGGCCAAACTGTGCTCACAGGAAAGATAAACCTCCTTCGTCCTCACTGCTACAAACAGCAGAGGCTGATGTGCCCTAAACAGAGACTAAATCTAGTAAAAGGGTGATTAACCGTCTGTAATATTGCCATATAAAAAAGTGAATAAAGGTAACGGAACAGGAGTTTGCTGTGATTACAGTATTTCCCTCCGGGTGGCTCGGGATGGAAAATGACCAGCTCTGTTCCCACGTCCTGTTCCAGTCTGCGCGGCTGGAGACAACACGTAGTGCTGCAAACCACCCTCAAAGGTGGGACGGGGGGCGAGGGGGTCCGCTCTCCTGCTGGCACAACCCAGAGCTGGAAGGCAGTCACGCACTGTTGGCCGTTCTGGTATTTAGGGGGTGCAAGGGGCTTCTCTCATGGCTGCTTTCCGCAGACCTCCAAGGGTCCCTCGCAGCACCTCACACCATCTCTCTCTCTCTGTACCACTCCTCTGAAGATCAACCAAAACCTCCAGGGGACGGCACAGCGCTGGTGGCACGCCAGAAATAGAAATGGAAATTCAATGTGATAGGAAAGGACTCTCAAAAGTTCAAAATCCAAGATCCTCCAGGCTCCCACAGAGAACATGTATTTCCGATGTATTCTGCAGAAAAAAGTTTCAACACACTCACCTCAAAAACTGAAATGCTCATTTAAATATAGACTCTGGCTATAAATAACAATACATGTAACAGTTTTTCATTGACCTTCTAAGTCATTTTGGCCTCCTCTGTCTCCAGTTTTGTCAAGTTTCAAAATCAACATCGCGTGTCGGTACTGCTGCTAACTGTGGAAATATTTTTTTGTAAATCATCTCATTTGTTGGGTTTTTCTTAGAATCAAACTCTTCTTCTCAAAGTTAACTGAGACTTTCAGCTGAAAGGGAAAGCTAGGAGCCCTCCTACCCATAGAAGGAACACAGAGAAACTCCAGAGAAGTTCCTTTTATCTATTTGAATAGGACACTTAGAAGTATCCTATTCAAGATTTTTGAGTTCCAACTTGTATTTTTTAAGGTACTAGGTTTGGCAGTATCGCATAGGGCCAGGAAATTTGCTTGAGAAGTATATACTACAGACATTTAGTAAAACTGAAGTACTTATAAATCTGAAGACCTCTTCTTTTTAGCCAGTGGAGATTTTCTAGTCATAGCACACTTAAAGGTCAGTTACCTTAAATAAAAGGTTTAATAGTAATGAAAAGAACTAAATTCTAAGAAAAGATTATTGAGGCAGTTCCCCAAAAACTCTTTGGCGTTTGGAAAACAACATAATTCCTATTCCAGAATTCTAAAGTTTGGTTTAAATTCCCAAGAAAAGCTATTGCTCCAGTCAAAGTCACACAGAACTTAGATGAGTAATGCTAACGCCATGAATTATTTCCACTTTCAAATCCTTACTCAGTTTGACTGGCTGGATGATGGATGATTGCTTCTTCATTGTTGCTGTGCCAATGCGAACTCAAGAAAGCAAACAAAACTGCTGATGGATCAGAGTTTTTGCCAGTTACCTCACAAGCTGCAGATTTGCTACTGCACAAAAGAAATCACTGAAATGTAAGGGTAATCAGAAAAGTTTATTTTGAGAGAGAAAATCAGTACAATGTAAAATATTTCTAAATAGCTCAGTAATCATAAAGCACTGATGTCAGGGAAAATGGTTTCTCATTCCTCCTTTCACAAAAATCCACAGTAATTTGGACCTAAATATGGTGCAGGAACATGGCGTTTGCAGGAAGTTGGATGAAAAAAAGTTATCTTCTTTTAGATCATCCCTTTCAACACACACAAGACATAGATTAGCTTTGCAAGAACAGGACAAACCCAGCTCTCTGCTAGCTAGGAAAAGCGTTCAGCACTTCTGAAGGTCAGCCCTCCTTTTAGGTCTTCTCTCTGGCCTTCGCTGGTCAGAAAGCTCACTGTAAGTCCTCCAAGTATCTGGAAAGTCCTCACATCAACATTACTCGTCACATCCGAGAGTTTCCTTTGATAACACATAGGGCCTTCATGCTCTCTCTCCCCACTCAACCTGGTCCAGGCTGGATCTCAAATCATGTTATATTACTGAAAATAAAGCAGTATATTCTGCAAAGGTTCCTTATCAAGACTGAAAGTCTCATCTCACCAAATTTGTAAAATGTGCAAAATATATCAAAAGGTAGCAGCTGCCATCTCCAGTTCTGATTTCTCACCAGAGGCATGGCCAACAACCTTTGGAGACGTTTACACTGACGGATAGGGCAGGAGGGTGGGCTAGAGGGAGCTCCACATCCGTCATCTGCCTCCGGTTCTGTTTTGGGCTGCTCCAAACAGTTCTTTCCAAGACTCAGCCCAGGCCCAGCACTGGGAATTATTCATTTCAGTTTATATAAAGGGTGAGTGGATGAGATGGAACCAGGTTGTGTCTCTGTCACCCTCTGTCACCTCCACTCATCCAGCTGAGCACACGTGCCCCCAGCCCTCCCCGTGCCCCTTCCCCAGGGCACCCCACAGCTCCTTCAGGTCCACAGAAAGTCCCTAGAGCGGCCTGCACAGAGATCTCCCGTCACCTCAAAGGCTGTAGTGGCCTTTTCCTCCCCCGTTGTGCCAGAGATGGAGATTCCAGCTTGAAGAGCGAGCAAACACAATGTTGTTTTGCCACTAACAGCTCAGTGCCAATAACACACAGTCTTTCCCCAACTCACTGACGACCGACTATTAATTTCTCTGAAGGATACCTGGGACAACAAATGCTATATAAATACTTTCTTCAAATTTGAAGATGAGGAAACTGTCAAAGAGAATTAAGTGAAGACCATAAAGCTGACAGCTCCAGTTCCATCAGTGCAAATTTCTAGTATAAATGTATATAAAAACATGAAGGAAGCAAGAAGCAGCACATTTATACTGTGTTACTGCACTGAATTCCACTGAAGAAAGACATCAGAGGTGCCACAGACAGCAAGAGGAAGGTTTTATATTCTGGGTGCAACCCAGCAATTGCATAACCTGAATTCTAACCGCTCCACCATTAAGGAGAAGATGCCATTTTATTTAAAATTATAATCGCCAAATTCAGTGATGTCTGATGAGCTGTGTGATTGTGATTTGCAATATTGATTCCACCATATTCAAGTGAGAAAATAAATGGTGAAAGAAACAAGGCTTAAGATAAATACTTTATATTAGAAAGTATTTTTCGTAAGGGGTATTCGTAAGAGGATTTTTTCTGCTTTTTACTGATTAATATCTTTGATGTTTTACATGCAAATGTTGAAGACTGGAGACAAGCCAAGCAAAGGTAAAACACAAAGGAGCAGAATGCTTCTCAGAAAAATGCTTACCAACATCTTTATAGTCAATAGTTACTGCCAGGTTGAACTACAGGATTACTAACCAGAGATTTACTTACTAACCAATATTTGCCATGGAAGTTGTTATCCACAGTTCAAAACAGCCATCAGGAGAACTGGAAAATTTTTGTGGCTACTGCGATTCAGACACCACAAGTTGTCTTTTCAGTCTCGGGCTTCATCCAGGCTCACTGGATATTCAACAGCAGTAGGACTCAGAATACACTAAAGGATCAAACATAAGAAATACAGACATCACTGAGTATTATGAAGTAAATAAAGATTAACCAAGGAGTTTCACCTAAAGCTTATTGAAAATTTTGAACTACAACCTTTAATTTCAATGAATTCCATAATAGCACAAAGGTGATAAAATAAAGTATTAATGGCTATCAGGTGTAAAAAAATGTTACATCTACCTGAATGTAAAGAAGCTGAGGGGGTTTAGTATCTTTTTGGAGGAGGTTCTCCTGAATAAAAGACGAGATTATAACTATCAAGAAACTGAGGGCAGAGACAATTTTAACAGATGTGTGGACATCTCCGTGAGCAGATGCTTGTCCCTTTTACAAATATGCCTGAGAGCTGGCAATTTCTGGTGTTATAACCTGCAGGAATCCATTGTTTGGAAGTACCCAACTTACTGTACTTTCCTAATCCTTGTTTTCCCTCCTGACAGTCAGAGGCGGCACCGGGCGCGAGCCCTGCGGTGGCTTGAGAGCGGATGGTCCTCGGGCAGCTCAGAGCTGAGGTGGGGAAAGCCAGGTACATCTCTGCTGCCACACTCCCAGTCCACAAGAACCCACCTTCTGTCCCTTCCCTTCAGCGTTACAGCTGGCTCAGGCCACAGGCAATAAACACTCTCCTCCGTGTGCCTCCACAAACCTATTGCTTTTAAAAGCTAACATTCTGAAACAGAAGCGTCGTTCCCTGGTAATGCCCAATCTTAGCAAATGCACCTTAGAATCCACCCCCCCCCCCCCCCGAGCCCCCCCGGCCCTCGTTACTTAGCGGAAACATTTTTTCTAACTAGGATATAGAGGGCCTTCCACGCCTGGGGGAGCTAATTTTAGTCACTTAATGCGATATCAAGAGGATCATTCCATGTTCAAGGATAAAAAAATAGCTAAGAATAGAGCCAAATGGATTTTCAAAAAACTTTCATCCTGAAGTTAATGATAAATTTAAGAATAGCTAATGTTAAGAGCTCTTTATGAAGTGATTAATGAAGTCTGTCAAGTAGTAAGTCCCGACTTCTCTGGAACTTTTTGCAGGTACATGCATCTGCAATTTTATATATACTGGGGGAGAGAGAAAAAAACTAGGAAGAAGCTGTCTGCTGTAATTACAGATTCTACTCAATGACGAAAATCACAATTTGAATTAATGTGGAAGCAAATGGTTAAAAACTAAACAACAACAACAAAAAAACAAGAAAAAAAAAAGAGTGAAATGTGAACACTGTAAGAAAACTTTTAAAATTTCACACAGAAAAAAACCCCAAGACCTTTTTAAATGACATCCAAAGAAAGTGCTCCATTTCGACGTACCTGAGGGCTTTTGTTTAGCCCGATGTGGATTTTCTTTTTCCATTTTTCCTTCTGGCCATGGGAAAGGCCACTTGCCGCCTCCTCCTGCCCGTCAATTTTCCACACACACGTACTGGTCCTTCTGTCCTTCCCAGGCTTTAAACAGCCTTGCATGGAGACCATTGGTGCATCAGGAATGTAGATGTGTAATACTGGAGCTAATTACTCCGATACCTGTTCCTGACTGGAAGAGCATACAACAGGCACGTGAAAAATGGGACATCACTTACCAAGACAAAGAGTCGCTACAATTTGAACGCCTCGGCAATAGGTAGGGATTTGGAAGTTTCTAATAAAATCTTCAAGCTCATGTTCTCAAGATATCACACCTGAGCTAAATGCCTTCCACCCTTTGGGAAGCCACCAGAGCAGTTCGCATTAGTGCTATTAAGCCTAATTGATATGTTTCAAGCTTTTCAAGACCATTTGGCATCCACGGGTGAGACACATGAGAGTATCAGCCTCTATACACAGGAGTTGGTATCATGGCATCTCAGGCTCTTTCACAGTGAAACGCCTCTTTTCAGATGACGTTTATGTATAAGAACAAGTTAAATTGTCATCTTTTCTCTCTTTCAGGTCTCATACGATGGCATCCTGCGAGCAGAGAACTTCCTTGCCAAGACAGCAGTCCCCATCTGTCACTCACTCGTCATGTTTCTCAGTGGAGTTAAAAAGCCTGACAGTTTCCATGAATAACAATGACACATGCTCTTATATCTTGTGAAGAGGCACAAATTTTATTGCTGAAAAAGCGGGGAAAAAAGCCCACCAGTGTTTAAAGAGTTTTCCGAGCGCTGCTTATGTCTGGATGTGAGTGCAGATGGAACTGCCATTGTGCCTGAGGCCACCACCCCTTTTATATGTCATCCTGCAATTGCTGACTGAGGTCACTGCAGCAAAGGACCTGCCTTCACCGGGATCACAAATCTGGTTTGCAACCAACACCCCCTGCCTGCACCAGAAAGGTTCTTCTGTATTTTGCAATAGCCCTTGCTCAGCTGGGGTTCCAACAGCTCTTAATGCACAGCTGCTGACCACGTTAATGCACCTGCACTTAAAAAGCTTAAGAAGGTCGAAAATTATCTTAAAATCATAGGAGGGAAGTGTGTTTTGGAGGAGATACTCATGGGCAGCATGTAGAAAATGTGCTTTTATTGCTATGAGTGGTTTCAATGTAGGTTTAGCAAATGAAATTGCATTAATACAGTTACAGAGGCATACCTATAATACTTAATTTTCAAGAATGTGGCTCTCTATTTGGTAATGGGTTTATTTTGTCAGTGCAGAAGAAAACGGGAACAAATTCTCAAAAAGGGAAAGGGCCTCAGCCAAGCTTACCTGGTTTTTGTGATTAATAACACAGCACTAGCCCATCTTTGGTCAGCCTCCTGTCAGTCAAAACATTATTCCTCACACCAGCTCATTCACATTTCAGTCTGAAGAATTTCCTCTGGTCTCTCGAGGTCCTTCACAGGGAAAAAAAATTAACCCATACCCCCTACTAAATGTTATTATGAAAGAACAGGGAAGCCATCTGCAGACAGACCTGCATTGGGAAGCACTTCTCGTTATTGTGTGGGTTGCTTGGTGCTTTATTTTTCCCTCAGCTCCGTTCTTGAACTCCTGACTGTACTCAATCAAGTTGACAGAGAAATACACCTATGTCTTTACGGGGTATGCACTACTTCAGATTATAATTTAGATATGTGTTTCTTTTATTTTTTTAAATAAATCTATCTTCACTGTGTAAAGTTCGGTTCTTGTAGAGGCTGCTCAAGCATCGGCGTTGGGGAAAAATGCTGTTGAATATTATGTTAGTGATCTTGGCACGAAAGCAGGTATATGCTAATGACATTTTGGGAGTCATCAGCAATACAGGAGAAGATTAGAATGTTATACAGGAAGAGACAGATGACCTTGAGGGCTAGAATAATAAAAGCAAGACTGAGTTTGGTATGGTGTGGGACAAGATCGTATATAAAATGTCCAGGGGAAAAAAAAAAAAAAAAAAGTCATGAACGAAATTTTAGCTAGTAGACTACAATTCCATCAAATATTAGGAGAAAGCAACTTAATTTGTTTTAAAAGGATCTTGCTAACATTATGATTAGGAAAACACATTGTGGCTACATGCAGTAGCGGAGATTTTGCTTAATAGATCCAGGGGTCCCTTCCAGCACGAGGGGCTCAGCCGGCTCCTTTAATCTGTCTGACTAATGATGCTCCTCCCTCCTTTCTTAATGAACGTTACGAAGAAGCCCGGCATTCTCACAATTGCGTATGGCCCCTCAGCTCCCCTCTGTCTTGCCTCGTTTTCCAATTGTCTGCTTCTTCCAAGAATTAGTATTTCCAAAGCGGATCCTTTTGCAAATGCTCAGAGTTCCAGGTGCTGATGGCTTAGTCACTGACAAGTCAGCTGCTAGCGGCAGGGAAGAGAAGACGAAGCAGGCAAAGTTCAGAAAGAGAAATATTGTTTCTGCCCAACTGAAACCTCATTGAAACCAAGCTGGAATGGGGTCAGAGAGCCTTTTAATGGAAGCAATAAAGCTGCTCCTACCTACTGGGTCACCCACTATGTACTGAGTCACACCAGCCTACTATTTCTTCTCCAGCTGATTCACAGCAAAGGTCCAAAAATGGAAGACAAAATTGATCTTAAGATTTATCTTTTTTTGTTTGCTTATTTTGGAAGGGAGAAAGCTGTGTGCACAGTTTTGGTCCCTGTGACTGTGTAAGGACATTGACAATAAGCTGAAAAATGTCAAAGTTCCTCAATATGAACCACGATAAACTCAAACATATGAAAATGTTACTTTTAAGGGGAATCCATCCCATAAAGTTCCTGGCTTAACAAGGTCTCAAATGCTGTTTATTCCCAGCTAGAATGACAGGCATTTTGTATGGCCGAAGCTCCACAGAAGTTCAGCAGAATTTTACATTTCAGTAAGTTTCAGAATATTACACATCAGAGAACCTACTTGATAAAGAGGTGCCTGAAGTAAGGTGGAATTAGACTTTGCACACATTTATTAATATGGCATAGTCACACAATGCTTAAAATTCTGAAAAATGAAAATTCATAAAGTGACTCATGAATAAGATGCCAATATTTGGGAACAGAAGAATCTATTTAAAAACGCAGTGACCCTGGGCAGGCTTGGTTAGTCATCCTCCCTGATTAGTCCACGCACAGCAAGCTGTATCACACAGAAGGACTGGTGAAACTTTCCAATACACACAAAGCATGTCCTAAAACTAAATAACTGCTGTTTCAACTCCCTGTGTCTAAACCACAGTAAACCTAACAGTGTGACCTGTGCCAGGTCCTTATTTGAGGGAGTACTAGGAGATGAGTCTTAGGTGGCATGTCAGTATGCGTGATCATTTTGTTACACTTCAAACTGCATTTGGCTTGTTTTTTAAAGATTTAAAACAGCTTATTCACTGAGAATTTAAAATAATTTTTGTCACGTTTGTATTTCTAAATAAAGCATCAAAAATGAATTCACTTGCAAACTATAATTATTACTTTTGAGAGCTCAGCAATCTTTCTACTCGTCCTGTTTCTCGATAAAGCGCTTTGGCTTTCACAACATCTTATGACTGTCTGCAGTTCCCCACGAATGGGTGGGGTAGAGGCAGTGATGAGAAGACATTGAAGACTGAGGTGGTACGAGGAGTGCCACCGGTGCAGCTGCAGTTCCAGTGGGTAGCTCCACGGTGGAGCCAAAAGCATGAGCTTGTGCCGGCGGAGTCAGAGGGACTCAGGAACGCAACGGAGTGAGAGCATCCCGCTTCCTGCGGGAACAGCATCCCGCCTCCTGCGGGAACAGCATCCTGTTTCTGCGGGACCAGCATCCCGCTTCTGCGGGAACGCCTCCTCCCTACCGGACACTGACTTCTTCCCCTCCCTGCACCGGGAGAGGCGTCCCGGGAAGCCCAGGGCACTGGGTGAAACAGCGGGTTGTTTGTGTGGGGTGCCAGCCACCCCTCAGTGCTGCTGAACTGGGCTGTATCACAGGTACACCACAGCAAGGGAGGAGTCCCCATTTCAGAAAGGGAATCCCACAAACAAAGCCCTTCCACACAGGTTTCAGGCGACAATCAAGTGTCCTGGGGACAGTCGGCATCTTTGATTTTAGACAAATACTTGTATGTGCCAATGAAAAGTATCACGCAGTGTCGAGCCTCTTAACTGAGACGAAGTGCAGAAATCACTCCTTTGTTAAAATCCAAAATTAGCTTCATAAAGCAAAGGTGACTCTTCCCTAGTCACAAACATATTTTAAAATAGAAAGTACCCTACACATCAGTTTTTAATGAAGCCTTAATTTCATTCCCAAAACTGAAAGCCGTTTTGTGCTATAAAATTATTATTTTTTAAGCATTATAAATTTTAATGTGTAGATAGACATTAAAATAATGGGAGCACAAAATAAGCATGTAGAATAAGAGCAGTTCTACGTTATTTTGTACTAGCTGTGTACTGCTCTTTCATTTTATGAAACAAAAAGCATCAAAACCTGAAGTAAGGAGTGCAGCTCAGTGCTACTCCCCGTGCCCCCTCAGGCTGCATTACCCCTGGCAGGAGGAGGGCTTCCTAATGCACCTCCTCTTGTCACACTGAGGGTACCCAAAAGGGAAAAAACTACCAGTTTTCTACTCTGCTGGTGAATTTGTGGAAGCAGAGCTCAAATGCCAAGTTTTGACTCTGGCTGGAGCACTGAGTGTCACAGACAGTCCAGCCTCCATGACCAGCCCTAGGATGACCATCCCCAAAGGCACTTCAGAGCTACACGTTTGAGAGGGGGCTGCTTCTCTGGGGGGCTGTTAATCCTTACCAAGAGGATGGGGGGCTGCCAGTACAATTGTATGGGCTTGTGAACCTTCACTTTGAAACCTGAAAACCACGTCATCAGGAGAACTCACTTATGTCCCATTACAGTGGGTTTCTGGTCCCAAAGCAAGCTGAGAGCACTCTGAGAGGAGGTGCCCAGGTCTCCGTCCCCGGTTCCGGCTGGAGAAGATTCCTTGGATGTTGCCCAAGTTTTGATGTAAAGGATTAACGGTGTCCCCCCCTAGGTTTCTGCAGGGTCTCCACTGATAACTAAGGCACTAGGAATGACATTTCTTCCTCATTTAAGAGCAGTAACAGGATGTCACTGCTGCAAATTTCTGGAGATATAATTTTCAGGGATGTGCCCTTTAAAAATACTTATAAAGGCAAATGAGCTGCAAAAATGTGTTAAGTGTTCATTTGTATGTATGACAGTCATTCAGTATATTAGCAATTAGGGGGACCATCAGATTTTAGGTTGCATGTGCAACTGGCACATGCATCCTGTACTCATTTTGGACGGGGTACCTCCTATTCTGAGGTAGATACAGAATACTAACAGGGTGCATTTCCATACGTAGCTGCTGGCCTGTCACACTCAATCCACCTCCACTCCTTTAAACCATTCATTTAAACATGAGGGAAACTGGCTATTGAAATATATATTGCGAGTTAGGAGTGAATTTCCATTTGTCTCAGTGTTAGAGGTTAAGTAAGCTCTGAAGTAAGAATCAATCCTGAGAAGTACTGTTTGAACTAAAATATACTTTTCTAATTTGTAAGCTCTTCAGTTAAGAGATGGATCTACTTACACGGTGTTTCAGGGGCGGGAGAAGAGGAGCTGGAAGCGTTACTGCAGCTCAGGTGAGAGCCAAGCCGCTCGGTGCCGAGCACGAGACATTGTGCCAGTTGCCTGGAGCAAAAATAAAAATGCAACTGTAAATGGCACGGAATTGTAAAATTATAATCTGCCTCTAATGGCACGCTTTGCTGTCAGAGACCTACTTCAATAACAGAAGATTTTGGGCTATTAGCAGCGTTCTAGAGCTACTCCAGCAGCACAGTGTGAGTGCTGCAGAGATGCTACTACCCGCCGAGCTGGTGCCAAGTGGGAGATCTGGTTTGGCAAAGTAGGGTAGAACGTGCCCCTGAGGGAGCAGGGTGGGCAAGGAGAAGAGGCTGCATTTCCAACGCGGATGGCAACGAGCTCACGCTCCCCCCCGGGCCAGCTGGCCATCGGGGGGCTGCTGCGCCCGCCAGCGGGAGAGGGGGGTGCCCAGATGGCAGCTGCCACCCCCACTCCCACTCGGACAAGCCCTGCTGAGCTGGCAGGGGGTGTGGAACCGCTTGTACCTCCCATGCCAGAGGAACTGCTGGGACTCACGGGAAGAGCAAAGGAATCTCCTCAAACCTGGCAGAACAAGTCAGGCTACTGCAGTGCTAAAAAGTCATCGATAAGCTGCTTACCGAGATAAAGAAGGTCAACCCCCCCCAAACAAACAAACAGAAAAAAGATGGAGGGAATCACTCTGTACTAAAAAAATCTGTAACTAAAAGCACTGATCATGCAGAACCTTAATGTATGTGAATCACTCCAATAAAAACATTTAAAAAAAACATATTTAGGAAACAGTGGTAATCAAAAAAGATCATAGTAATATTTGAAAACAGTTATTTAAAAAAGACCAAAAACATTACCAGTCTTAAGCATTTTTCTAACATGCATAAAGAAAACCTAGATTTTGGGCAACACAGTTTGACTAAAGCATATAGGATACCAAACAGCAGAATAACAGCAATGCTAAATAAAGAAAATAACTTCCAAACTCAAATGACACTGCTTTCAACTGCAATTCTAATTGAATTTGGACACCATTATGGTGAATAGAGATGAATCAGTAACAGAACTGGACATTGTTTCGGAACCCCCAGACCAATAGCGACGATGCAGCTGCCCACCCATTTCTCCATGAGGGAAAAGAACAGTCTCCCAGCCCCTGAGAGTTGTGTTAGCCCATAAACCTCCAAAGGAGTCGTCTTCCTCAAAATGAAGGCCATCAGAAGCAAAACAGGTTGGAAAACAATGTTTAAAGAGAAAAATGTCAAAAGAAATTTGGAAATTCTGTAAATATAAGATGGCTGCTAGAGAGCAAGAAGCATCCATTGCCAAGAAGAGAATTCCATCCCGAAGTGCATCCTGGTTTGAGGCAATGTGAGGACAGTACTTAACAGTGTAAGAAAACAGCAAGAAGGAAATAGAGAATAAATCAATACAAACTTTAAACTTGCAGCATGCAGAAATCTGATAAAGGAAGTTTAAAGCATTGTAGAAAATGCATGGTAGAAAGAGCCTACAGAGTTAGAAGATTTAAGCGTTACCAGGTCAGACATGTTGGTGGGTAATTAATCTGCTTTTTTTTCCTCTGCCACACCAGCAGCAGCAGTGGTGACTCCAGCAGTGCCTAAGGACCTTCACAGGAGAAAACAGTTACAAAAACAAGATTAAGTAACAGGCACTGAAAGTCTAAAATCCCCCACACTCAAATGAGGAAATGCAGGCATTCCTCACAACGAGGGGGTTAACTGCTGCAAGGCCTTATTGACAGGACGGCTGGCCCACCTGAGGCTTTTCTGGAAGACATGCTTTATCCAGCAATATTTCTGGACTGAGCACGGGGCACCCTGGCAAAAGACCAGGGCTGGCAATGCCCGGGGTCAGGCTGAATGCTCCAGTGACACCTGTGCCCAGTGAAACTTTGAGTAATACCATTGCAAAAACCCCTTCTCGTGTTTCGCCCACCCAAGGAGACCAGTCCCTGGCTGGGTGCCCTGGTCTGCTCCATGCTGTTCATCACACCGTAACTTCCCTTAGAGAATACAGCGACTGAACAGCCTCCATCTCGGAGTGTTCCTTTTTGCCTCTCTGAAGCATCTACAGCATTTTAACTTTACTTCTTTTAACATTTCAATGAAGAGTGTCTCTTGGTTTTCTCAAACCTGAAGTAGCAGACGGAAACTCCAACTTTGTAGAAGGCATTTAAAATCCTTCCTCCGTAGTAACTGGGAAGGTTCTCCCCAGAAATTTTTAGTTCCTTGCAATTCTTTTTCTTTCTTCAGTTCTAATCACACTTTGGAAAAAGTTATCTCTATGAAAAATAAATTAATTGAAAGATGAGGCGTTCTTTTCCTCACGTACCTTTCTGCACTAAGTGCCTCAGCAGCCCTTCCAGTTTGATCAGCCGGAATGAAAAAAAAAAAGATTAAAAGATATTTTCATACAGTTTTATCTATGCTGTTGAATATAGAAAAAGGCAGGAAACCAAATAGTGTTTAAAAAAATCACAGTCTGTGTCTAAAACATGACATTTCTGTCTGGAAAAATACCATGTCGTGAGCTGATAACGTTGAAATTAAATTAAAAGATAATTCTTGGTAAAAAAAAGCCTAAGGCAGCAATGAAACACTTTGCTGATAATCTGGTGTGAAACTGGGACACCCAGTCCCAATTTAAGAAGGCCACACTGATGGGGGAATCTAATGGGTCAGCAGCATTAATGTATTTTGAACTTCAGAGCACACGCTGTGATGCTCTTTCCTGCACCAAGCTGTACTAAGAATTCATACACAATGAATCAAGGCAGGAAAGAAATTAAAGTGGAAATTACAACCGTAGTACAAGTAATAATAACTATTCCTTATTATACATTTTCTATTATAAATATAAGTGTTAAGACACATGTGTTGAGTACCCAGACCTGACCGGGACTCTTCGGAACTGTGACCACCCTGGGTACTCCCAGGAAAGCCCCCATCCCATCCCATGCCATCCCATCCCAGTGCCTCTTTCTACTACCAGAGCTGTAAAAAACTCTACAGTGTCAGGTTTACTGGCATTCCCTTTGTCAATGTGCCGGCCGCTCCGTACAGACGAGCTGCTTTCTTAAAAACACCCCCGCGGGCCTCGCAGCAGAATATGGACGGGTGATTGATCAGACGCAGCCGCTGATGGCAAAAAAATACTGATTTTCTGCAGATAACAACGCATCTAAACATTTAGGGTATATTACCAGTTTATGTATTACCTTAGGAAATAAGGTGCTACGGCTTTAGTGCTTCAGCAAAGAAATCTAGTCCCTGGCTGTTAAGGTATTTCTCTCAAAGCATTTTGTTTTCTGTCCTTTCCCAGAGTGCTCCACAGACAGGTAATGACATTTCTCTGTGAAGGAGACAGATAAACCAGATACAGTAAAATTTATCCATGTTTTACACACATGGAACTTTATATAGATAGCAATATTTTCTAAGGGCCATTCCTGTTCCCCCCATATATATGCAGTCCACTGCAAGTGTGAAGCAAAAATTTCTCTTAAATTACCTTAAACATGTTTATATTTTCTCTCAGTGGGAAAGCAAGCTAAACCAAACATTCCCAGCAACATCCTTATTCTTAACTTGTTCATTTACATATATCTGGCAAAACAATCCAAAGCATGACCGGGATAAATAGTTGGAATTTAAAAACTACAGACTTGACCTGAATTGCTGTGTAATTTGCTGTTAAAAAGTGTTGATTTGGGTAATATCTGGCATGGATGTGAACAGCTTAATGTATGATGATAACTCTATCTAATTTTCAGGATTGACAGGATTATTCTTATGAGTGAGGTTTAATTATAAATTAGTATAATAAAATTTATCTAGAACCTGGATGGATTCTTTCAGAGCACTGGGAAACACAGAAAAACAAAAAGAAGGTACCACACCAGTAAAATAGGAGTTATTCCAATCTGAAAGATTCAACCACTTTTACACTTTTTTCCTAAGTGCTAATCTAGCACTTAGAAAATATTTAGTATTCAGAAGTCACTTGCTCAATAAATTTTGAACAAGTTTGAGCTTTTTACTTACTTTACTTATAGGGCTACTTGTAGTGGTAGAATTTACATTTAGAACTTACAAATAGAATTTAATTCCATAACTGAATGTGCCAGCGCAGAGAGGTGCCTAAGGGAGCACCTGGAATGTAAAACCGGGAAAGAGCAGATAGGCTGCAGAGGCAAGCTTAGTCCATCTTACTGACAGAGGTCATTTCCATTAATATCATATCTTAATAACTGTGCCCTCGGACTGACACCGAGCCTTGTGCATTAGCTTTTCTCATGAACTCTAGGATTGAAAGTTGTTTATAAAAAGGATAAAAGCATGACACATGGTTATAAAAAGACATACTGCATGTATTAAGATTGATCTTTTACTTCAGTACAGATACTTCTGAAACATCCCTATTGCTTCAGGCTGAAGGTAAGGAATAAATACATCTTGCAGACAAAATTCACAGTAAAAATGTATTTTAGCATTTCTAGAGCAGCTCCCTCTGGTGGAAAATGATCATCAAGAAGAGTGTATGAAGTATTAGACACCATCAGTTCTTACTGCTCTGCTCTTGTACTCCAATGACTGGCGTAAATGGGATTATGCATGTCTGAAAATCCCTCTGCCCCTGACCCCGCAGCTATTCAGCCCTGGAGTGATGCCCACCAGCTCACAGCTTCATGCCCGTGACCACCTCCCACCTCTATGGCCCACACACTTTACAAATAACTAATGTCGTTTTGCTTGCACATAAACATGTCGTTTCCCCTTCAGATTGAGACTAACACAGGAAATGATCAAAGTCCAGATTTCTTACGAACTGAAGCATGGTATGTGCAAGCAGCATTTCCCAGGGGAGGAGGTGAAGGAGCCTCCACTGTCAGTCACTGAGTGATACCTGGCCAGGCCCTGGTGATTTACTGCCTTTGATTCTCTGCTCTCACCCTATGATCCTCACTGCGGATTCTACTGTTCCAACACTCTATAGTGCACAAAGCTCCTAAATGGTGAGAGCTACCTTCTGTTCCTTTTCCCTGCTTAGGAAAGGCAGAAATGGCTGAGGATAGGAAATATATTTCCCCTTTGTCCCTCACATAGCTCCTTCCCATGGGCAGGTCCTTCACAGGCTGAGGATTTTCCTGTTGTGAATTCCCAAGCTTGATAATTTTAATTTCTTTTTGTGCCCATTACTCTGCAAAAATAGTACAGACCGTGAGCTGTTTGACCTTTCCAGACCTCTAAATTATTTCTACAGCAGGAATGAAAAACCGTTCTGCTTAACTACGTTTACAAGTACAAGTTTCAGAAGAAAGCAAAGAAGAGAGTTCCAATTTACATGAGAAATCTGGATGTTACTGCAAGCAGATATAAACAGCGTTATAATAAAAGCTTTTTCGGCCTGTTGTTAACTGCTGCTGAGCAAATGTCAGATGCGTTCCCCTGTCTTCCAGGGCAGCACTTAAAAGAGCAGAAACCAAGTGGGAAAAGGTGGCTGAGACATATTGCTGACTCAGCAGTGCGAAACCCACACCCTTCACGAGGGGTGTTTTCCTTCACCAAACTGTGAGCGCCTGTGCTGGGGACGTGAGAAACTGTCACCAACAGGCTGAGCCGGGGGGAGCGGAGGAGCACGGGGACAGAAAAGGACACACAGGCTGCAGGAGGGGTGGCTGCGCTGTCACCGGTCACAGAGCTGACCCTTTCCTTTGCCACGCTCCCGTAATTCTGGTTTAACAGCCAAGCCATTACTCTCACTTGTTCAACTCCCTTTCCAGGGTATTTAAGGATGCATTAATCACCACGGGCTCAGAGATCCCGGTGGGACTCCAGCCTTGATCTCCCTCCACAGAAAACCCACTATTTATTTCTAGCTAGTAAACAGATATTTGAAAATTAAGAACATAGAAGTAGTTTAAGGGTTTCAGGCAGCTAAGCACCCTCTACGACAAGAGAATATCAGCGTATTTCTCCAGATCTTCACACAAGTATCAGTGAGTTACACCTCTCAGGGTTATTCATAGCGTGCATCTCTGCAGGCTGCACCTGATCTTTAGTTTGTTTCTTCTATAGTTCGATAAAAAACAATCCTAAACAGCCTCCAAGGAGGGAACTTGTGTTTTCCTTCCATGGTTGTTAGAAATTACATAATAATCACAATTCACTTTCGTTCTCTCTGCTGACTGTGAGGAACAGTTAAGGACAATCGAGTATTAGTCCAGAAAATACTGAATTGTTTGTCCTTAATGTCCAGAAAATACTTAGGTGTTTAACTTTGCACTAACAATCCCACTGACCTCATGTGGTTCCTGCTGCAGGACTAAACACCAGGTGGGCTCATCAGGCATGTGATTAAAGACACATATTTGGCTTTCACTCCCGCAACAGGAATCAAATGAAGTCATTATTAATGTGAATGAAGCATTACACTATGGTGGCACTGCTAAGGTGAGTTACACAAACTGTTCGTAAAATCAGGAGAGGAATAATTCTACAACTTAAGCTTTAACATAAAGGAGGCTATTGAAAAGAAAAGGAAATAAAACCACGGATGATGGTGAGCACCAAAAGCAGAGATTTTTATGTGAAAATTGACACATCTCTCTTATTTTGCTTACGGAAGAGTGACAGAAATCGTGGAGAAAACCAGTAAGATAGTGGAGAATGAATGATGGAGAATGCATAAGAGCACAGCATGCCAGCGCAAAGAGAAATGTTTCATTCTAGCTGGCACTATAGTTGGGAGTCCCAATTTCTTCTGTATTTTTATATTTGCAGAGAATGTTGCTATTTTGAGAATTATTGAGAATCTTTGTTCTGATCCTGCAAAATAGGTCAAGACATTTTGGATTCTCAAATCCTTCTGTATGACAAAACCGAGAATAGACGCATCTGCTCCAGTTTCCACCTGTTTAATTTCTTCTACTGCAGTTTACTCTTTTCAACAATGTTTTGTGAAACTTGTGATGGGAAAATAATGGCAAAATACACTTTGAGCATGCCCAGCTTGTTTGATCTGGACCCTTGGTGTTTGGGCAATTATTTCACTAGACTACGAGGCATACATGTGAGACATATTTCTCATTCCTTCTAATTGTGTGGTAACGATGCTAAGCACAAAAATCTTCCTACTGTTTTCCAAATACATTTCTCTTATCGGCTCTGAAGGCATGTTTGAGTAAGGCGATGGTGGCTTGGTTGTCCCCTGACATCTATAATAGTGCTTAAATGGCAACTTTTGAATCACAGACTGACGTAATCAAGTCTTGTCTGCAAACCATCTTTGCTCAATGCTTCCAATAGTGGGTATTTTCAACAAGACAACTTATAAACCAGGAAAAAAAAATTCTACTTTTGCTGTTATGTGAAATTAATGGAATGTGATTTAAAGCAGTTAATCATTTATTCTGCTTTGCAGCAAATCACTGAGGAGTGTTTGCTGCTTTTAATTTGCCAGGGGTTTGCTCTTCTACAAATCAAATTAGTAACCAAGCCTCTTGTTAGGCAGAATTCTGGGGAAAGTGGAGTTCATGGGCAGTTAGGCAGAGATGCCCTGAGCTTTTGTTTCTGCTGGGGTCTGCTGCTTGCTAACAAGATGCCATCACAGGACAAGAGCGCCTGAGGCTTCTGATGTGACACAAATGAGAGTTATTGGGGCTACAGAGCTCACTGAGCATCCAAACACTGTGCTTTATGAGCATATTTGAATCTCAGCCATGCAGTTTCATTCTTCTGACTGTTTGCTGTTATGCAGCTGTACTAAAATATCAGCAACACCGAAGCCTTTCTTTGATACGGCTCATAAAGCACCCATACTGGTCTTTCTATATTAAGAGGCTGTCAGCGTTTCTGAAGACAAAACTTGTTTTTATTTTATTCTCTGACAATGATCCTGTAAATTCTTTGTCATTGACTGTAAACACTCGAGTACTGCTCAGCGAGGGAGCTGACTCGTGCACAGAGGAGCTGTAAGACCTGACACCCACTTTACAAGAGACACTTCTCCGGAGGGACCTGCACTCTTGGGAGGGGTGGCATTAGGGTGTGCGCATCTCACCTAGTGACATTACCTTTAGTGCTGCATCAGGAGTGTTCTGAGGCAGGAGCACATCAACATGAAAGAAACCCCTCACAGCAACCACTCCACTTCTGCCGAGGTCTCACAGAAAGGTCATTACCTTTTTCCCCTCCAACACACCTTTGTGCCGCGCAGTAAATCAGAACGACGCCGTAGCATTTCCACTTCTTCCCTGTTCAGCCACGCCGTGCTGTTCCCCAGGCTTCAGCTGTTCCCTCTAGGCTTGTGGGCCAGAGAGGGAGACTATATTATCTGAACAGCCTCAGGAA